TGTTCTTCTATTAAAGATGCATCTACTTAGGTCCTGAATTTTAGTTTTGTAGTTTAAATATTAAGGACATTTCAGAAAAATAGTCCTAATGTTTACGTTCTATTTCCTTCTTTGTAGTGTGCTAATGGAAGGAGATCGTGTTTTCGAGTTTGATGATTGGCGTAATTCGATGAGCTATTGGAAAAGAGATTTTCAGTATAAGGAAACAATAAAAAGTTTTTTGTCGAACACGCAATGGAAGAAGTTGAGGGATGGTGTTTTCGGAAACTTTTTCCGATTACAAGGTGTGAAGTTCTGTGGTAGACTTATTCATTGTGCGTTGCTTTCATAAATTGTAAGCAATGACTCGTATTCAATAACATTCAAGGTTTTTGATCATGAAGTGAAGTTTACACATGAAGCGTTCCAGATAATTACTGGGTTGGAATATTCTTCTTTATTAGACTTCAAAGTTTTACGTGAAAGGGAGAATAGGCTTTCGAAAGTCTACTTCCCTGGAAAGGATAGAATCGAGTTAGGCGATTTGTGGAATTTTATTACTAGTCACCCATATGGTACAACTGCATCATTTGTAGGCAGCCATGATGATGCGGTGAAGTTGTCAACAATTTATTTTATTGAATTTGTGTTGATGGGGAAGCGCAAGAATCAGAATGTGTCTGAGCGGGTAATGAAAATCGTAGATGACGATGAACTCTGCTCTTCTTTCAATTGGGGCTCTCTTTGTTATGAAGAGTTACTAAAATCATTGAAGAGCTGCTTGAAGCCCAAAAAAAATACTTCAGACAATGAGAAAGAGAAAGATAAAGAGAAGGACAGGTATACTATACTTGGCTTCCCTTTCGCCTTCTATGTTTGGATTATGGAAATATTCCCAATTTTTCAGGAAAACAATTTGTGAACTTCAGATAATGTGGGTTCCCTCGGATGCTATGTTATTCAGATATAAAATCTCCACATTATGACACCCTATGTAAAAAGTACTTCCATAATGAAAAAGTAAGTTAACAGGATTACTAGCTATTTTTTCGTTTATGTGTTTTAGTTCTGAATACTTACGTTTTTTTTCTTATATAATAGTTGTATCAGTTGCTCGAGATGGTACCATTTCTTTCTTCTGAAGTAGATGCGGAGCCCACTAGTGTGCATGTGCCATTGTCTCAAGATCAAAGTTCAATGCTTTCAACATAATTTGATGAAGTCTTGCTTAAGAAAATTGTTAACGTAGGTTTTCTGTCTTTGAATACCATTAGTTTTTTATTTGCTTATTTTTGCTTAAGAGACTTTTTTGTTTTTATGGTTTTTGATTCAGAGATTATCGGAGAAGTTCAAAAAGGATATGGAGGTAGAATGTACTAGAATACATCAAAATATAGCTTTATCAGAAAAAAGGATTCAAAATGACATCAAGGTAATATCCTTAATTTCTGTACTTGTAACTCTAAGTTAAGGACACCATATCCTTAATTTTTGAGCTTGTAACTCTCAGTTTAGGACTTCCTGTTCTTAACTTTTGAACTTGTAACTATAAGTTCAGGACTACATGTCCTTAACTTTTTAACTTGTAACTCTAAGTTTAGGAATACATGTCCTTATTTTTTAAACTTGGAACTCTAAGTTAAGGACTACATGTCCTTAATTTTTGTGCTTGTAACTCTAAGTTAAGGACCAAGTGTCCTTAATTTGTGAGCTTGTAACTTGAAGTTTAGGACTATATGTCCTTAACTTTTTAACTTGTAACTCTAAGTTCAGGACTACATGTCCTTAGTTTTTGTGCTTGTAACTCTAAGTTAAGGACCAAATGTCCTTAATTTGTGATCTTGTAACTTGAAGTTTAGGACTACCTGTCCTTAACTTTTTAACTTGTAACTCTAAGTTCAGGACTACATGTCCTTAGTTTTTGTGCTTGTAACTCTAAGTTAAGGACCAAATGTCCTTAATTTGTGATCTTGTAACTTGAAGTTTAGGACTACCTGTCCTTAACTTTTTAACTTGTAACTCTAAGTTCAGGACTACATGTCCTTATTTTTTTAACTTAGAACTCTAA